GGGCATGTGCCGTGCAGCGCAATGTGCGTGAATGTGCCTATGTAAATTGGAGGATCACACACGACTTATGCTCGAACCCGCGCACTGTCTGCCTTAAAGCACATAGGGACCCTTCCTGGAGTGTCCCTGTGTGCTGAAGTCGACGGGTCTTCCACTTCAGGAATTACTAGCTCGAATAAGAGCGGTGGAAGAGTTGGCTGTAAGAAAGCGCGCGGCACGAATGATTGCGTTTACGAATGCATGAGGTGCGACAAAGTTGATATGCAAAGAAATACGCTGTGAACAAATTCGGAAACGAAGAAAGCGGAGTGCAAGAATTGCGCCTACGAGAAAATGTAAGGGGACTAATTGCGTTTGAATTTTCTCCCAAATATTGGCGTACACGGATAAATGTGGTACAAACATTTATGCATGCGAGGTTTAAGAAATTTTGGGTTGCAAAGTTTTGTCCGTCAAAAGTTTTTTGTTTACAAAGATTTGTATACCAGGGTAAGCGGTACGAAGTTTTGCGCAATGCTTAAGTAAATGCCATAAGGAGTTCTGTCCTGCAACTGACTATTAGCGGTGACGGATCAGAACAAAGTCGGCAACATGGAACACGCTGTAAATCAATGAAGTGCACATCTGGTGCCAATAAGGTTTCCTTCTATCAATCCAACTGAGGCGACCATGTGTCGCCGGCCCCTTCCTTTGAAATATGGGACGGGGTCTCGACCCAGGTTCTGCAAATTTTGCAGGTGGCCTGCTGCACGTTTCTCATGATAACTTCATCGGGTCACCAATTTCTTATGTCGCAATTTTGTAGACAAACCAAGGCCATTAGATAACTTCAGCTGACCAGGCAGCACACTACTGCAGAAGACATTGTTCACTGCCTAGACCACCGCTTGCAGGCGCTGCTTGCAGCTGAACCGGAAGCGCAGGCAGGGGACACAGGGGGACACGTGCAAGCAGGTCACGTCCCCCGGGACCTACGATTACGGGCCCAACTTGAGGGCCCGCAGGGCACAAAACGCCGGCAGTAAGTCATATTAGGAGGCCCGGCCCAACAGGGCCGGGCGCTCCAATGCCGGTCAGGGGGCACTGCGCGCTGATCAGGGCCTTTCTGAGCCAATAGGGGCCCATATGGCGGTCAGACACCTCCAGTAACGCACAGTATGCGTCGTGGCGGTACAGGCCTGATGGCCCATTTCTCAAGTAGTGACAAAGCCGGGGCTAGTGATCCACACTGGTCGGGGCTCCTGTTCCTGTCAGGGGTCCACAGTGTCGAACAGAGGGTCCTGTGCTCGCAAGGAGACCCGAACCGACCAAGGGCAGCGCTCGATGAGACCCGAAGATGGGTCTGGGAGGTCCACCGAAACTGACGATCAAAGGCCCGGTTGAAGGACATATCAACACGAGGTACAGGCTGTAGGTCACGAAAGAATCGTGGCCCGTAGGGTCGTGAACTGAAATATCAGTCAGAGGCTCTCTTGCGTCGTTTGAGGCCACCCTGAGGCAAGGCGGGTGTCAAAGTCGGCCAGATACCACGAACACCGACCAGACTCCGACCAGAACACCGACCAGACTCCCCGTGAAGCTGTAACCTGGGGACTCATTTCTCAAGCGAATGCAAGGCCGATAGCCACCATTTACATTGGTCTGGGTTCCTGAAATAATTGAGAGGGACGCTGTGTTGGTGAGGCGTCCACAGTGCCTAACAGGGGGCCATGTGTCGGCTAGTGACCCCTAGTCAGTCACGGACTTTGAGAAGGTGTGAAGAGTGGCCGAAAGAGGAGGGGGGGGGGGGGGGGTCCTCTGAACAAAAAATCAAGGGCCTGACTGGACTCGGGCCTGGTCTCCCACCCATGCTTTGACCCGAAATGTCAGTAGGAGGGCTTCTTTTAGGACCCTCTTATATGGTTGTTATCTGTCCCTATTGTACAGGGCCTCGACAGGGAACCAAACAGTCGGCTCCATGTCCGTCAGAGCCCTTGAGATCCATTTCCCAAGCAGGAACAAGGCCATGGCCCCGATTTGCAATGTTTGGATCCGACACAGTGAGGGGCTCCTGTGTCAGTCAGGAGTCACAGTGCCTAACAGGCGTCCTGTAGCGGCGAGTGGCCCCGAGTCGGCCAGGAGCGATATCTGAGTGAGCCCGAAGAGGAGCCGAGGGGTCTCTCGAGACAGAAGATCAAGGGGCCGATTGTAAGGCTGAAGGGTCCGAAGGTCACATTAAGGACTACCGCCCGTAAAGCCGTGATCTCCAATGTCAGTAAGAGGGCGCCCTGTACCGATAGGAGACCCCTGAGACAGAACGTTCCTCTTTTTGGCCAGAGATCACCAATACCGAAAAGTCGGCTCCATGTCGGTCTGAACTCTCGGGCCCATTTCCCAAGCAAGGACAAGGCCGGGTCCACGATTTAGATTGGTCGGGGCCCCTGAAACAATGCAAGGATGCTGTAGCGTGCAGGGGCCGACAGCTTCTAACAAGGAATTTTGTGTCGACGAGGGGCCTGGAATCAGTTAGGGGAAGATTTGCTCAACAGGGACTGGGACGGGACTGCTAATGACAGAGGGTCTCTTGCGTTGGTCGGGGCCCTCTGACAATAAACGGAAATATGAGACTCTATGATGAGTGTTTATATTGAGGCAATTGAGGGGTTCTGTTCCAGTCAGGATCCCAAGTACCGAACGCTGCGCCCGCCCTCCCTGTTCTGGCATGGGCCCGTTAAGCCGAACTGGAGTCTGTGCGCCAATTATCGGATCACCTGCCGCGGTCAGGGATGCTGTTTCGTCAATGAGGGCTTCTGCGTCGATCCGGGGTCAGCTGAGTGGGTCAGAAGGCCTTCCGCGTCAAGGAGGGGACCAGGGTGAAGTGTATCACTCTAAGGGTCTCCAAATCGGCTAGGGATTCCCAACCCGTGTCGCCAGAGTGGCAGCCGGAAGACACTTCGCGGTGGGACGGAATGACACTTTTGCCTTTGGCTGGGAACCTTAGTATGCCCCTAGTATTGCTCTCAAGGGGGCTCCTCTCCCAGAAAGAAACAGGAGATATCATCAGTGTTGAATGGAGTGGGTCGAAATGAGCTATAAAACGAAAAACGCCATCCCATGTCTGCCTGAGAGCGTCCATCCTTTTGCAGAACCGACTCGTAGGGCAAATTACATCAAAAGGTTTGAGTTCGTGCGCCCGCCATCTCGGGATCACGGACAGCGATGGCCTGGTTTGCGCTGTCCGTAAAGCCGAACGGTTGCCGACCACTGTAAGTAGTAGCAGGCGGCGGGTATCGTGTGCGCAAGAACGGCCGTCATCAAATGATGGTTGCAAATGTTTACAAGCTTTGAGGTTGTCCTCTGGACAGATACAGCAACACGAACAGCTACAGCAACAGCTACAGCAAAACGAAAATGAGAGATCTACCCTTACTATGCTAGATCCACTACCAAATTCCAGAACCACTTCACGGTGCTGTTAAGCCTAATCCGTTCTTATCATTAATAAAAAATCGCACAAGTGAAGTATATGCCCGGAGTACCTTCTAAATGTGCGATTTGATAGCAAAGCGTTCAAAAGTACTTCTTCAGACGCGTCACCTTCCACCACCCGGCGGCCACGACATAGTCTTAGCGACAGGGCCAAGCTGCGCGGCCTATGGAGACTGTAACGCCTGGCGTGGAGGTTTTTGTTGCTTAAATTTGCAATCGTACATGCTCAGAACTACGTTACATAAGGCGTGTCACTGATCGAATCAGACTGGATGTTGAACATTTTCAAACAAACAGGCTTGGCTACGTTAACACAATTTGTTGACCCATTTCAATGCACATTCTTCATTCCGGGGTCCTTCATTATTCTGAAAACACAAATAGAAAGTCCGACAAGGCCTCCTAGCTCAATCTGTCCGGAAAAAATGCCTCGAATCGGTGTAAAATGAAGAGGTCCGGCGATTTATTCATGCAGTCGCTTAACGCATTATTTCTTCAATTTATTAACTGAAAATGCATGCAGAACTGATCTCGCGGTAGTTTCTGGCGTCTTTTTTAGTTATAGAAGGCCAAACTGAAAAAATATAAAAAACATGCCTTTAATAACAAATGTGCCATATCCAGCGTTTTTTTTTTTATAGTTGGAGAGGGGCATTTTGCTATCAGGGAGCCCTTTGTCAACCCTCTGCCCGGCCCCCCTCCCTTGCCGAGGCTCTGGATGCGCGCCTGAGCTGAAGTGGATGGATGCACTCTCGACAATTATGTCCTTTCACCGTGAGTCAGAGTCGCCTCCCCGACGCGGTGGCCTCCTGCCCGCCATCATCAAATAAGAATGTCCAGCACGGCCGCAGAAGAACCGTGGGTCGATTACTCAAGCATGGAGATGGTCGGATTCTGCAAAAAGTAGAGCGTGGCCCGCCGCATACCCGGGCCGGTCAGTTGTACGCGGCGGCCTTCGGCCCGGCGGCCCTCGCCTCACTCACTCCAGCTGCAGTGTTGACTAACGACAAGGTCACTGCGCGCCACGGCGCTCCCGTTTCTGCTGGCGCCGAGCTGGCGCAGTGCCAGGTCACGTGCCTGCAGAGCGGTAATAAGCGCGCATGACACGGTCAGTGGAGTGTGGTGCTGACCCCGCTCCCTTGCCGCTGCTGATATTGCGCTCCATTTGCTTAACGGATCGTCAGTCGGCATTCGCACCTCAAGCAGCGGTGAAGTGCAGCGTAATGGCCGCTGACTAAATATTTTTGACGCTCTCCACCAATTCGGAGCCGACTGAGCGCAGGCACCTTGTCGCAAAGCGCGTGCATATTGCACACGCGTGGCCCAACTGCGGGCATCGATCGAAGGTCCGCATTGCTTCCCGACCAGACAGGATGGCCTGAGGCCATGCAAGTCATTCATCGTCCGTACCAGCGTCCGGAACAGTGGCGCTGAAGCTGCCGGTGATGAACTCAGACGCCCCGCCGCCAGCGACAGCCCATGACGCTGAGTAGAAAATACATGGCACGTACTGAAGACTTTATTTTCTGCTACATAGTCATATGTCTCATAAGAGGAATTTAATATGTCATCTAAAGGACATCACCCGAAAGATGCCGTATCATGTGAGATATAAATACATAGAAAATAGAGCACGATCAACACGTAAATCGGGCAGCAAAGCTCCCGGGTTTGGCAAGCTTTTTATACGCATGTTCACATACAGAGTCTGAGCAAGTTCACAATAAAAAGAAACATGAATAGTCAAAATCAAGTGAAGCTAGGTCAAACATGCATAAAACGTCGTCGGCCAGCTGTCACCACGCAGAACTCGGCCCCACGTCATGGGCGTATCTCTTAAACAGAAATCGTTCGGTCACCGCGACGTGCGCCATTTCGAAGGTCAGAGGTCAACAGGGGCGATCGTGCTCGGTCAACACCTACAGACGTAAAACACCAACTAAAAGTCGCTGCACTCAGTCGCACGTACCTTCTCCCCCTCCTTGGTAATCTTGGCAGCGGCGAACTGTTGCCCGAGCACGCGCATTATCTCGGCGTGCTTGAGTCCGGCCGAATCCTTCTTCACCGAGCCATAATTGTCCTTGACGAAGAGGGCGAACGGGGCGGGCGTGCGGGGCGTGGCCGGCGCGGCGCCGGCCGGCCGCTCCAGCGCCGCCGTCAGCACGCACTCGAACCGGCCGTGACACCGGCCGCACACCTTGCGCTGCGTGTCCAGCGACTTGGAGTGCCGACCGAAGCTGTAGCCGCACCGCGTACATCGGTACGTGTATTTGCAGCGGATCTCATAGCTGTGGCAGCGCGAGACGGGCGGCAGCTCGGGGAAGCGGCGCTGCACGCGGCCGGCCCAGCCGCGCCACACGGGCCCGTGGCCGCCGCGGTCGCCCGACACAACCCAGGCGGCGGCGTGGCACAGCTCGTGCACCAGCGTGTCGCGCAGCCGCTCAGCACTGTCTACCACCTTCTCAGAGAGCTCAATGCGCGCCGTGCGCACCGTCGCACCGCCGCAGGCGGTCTGCTTGCTGTAGCAGAAGCCGGCCGTACGCAGCATGCGCTTGTTGAACTTGATCTCCAGGTCGGGGGCCAGCTGTGGCGGGGAGCCGGATTGGGGGGGGGGGGGGTCAGGCGGCCACGGGAGCGCCAACACCGGCAGGGGAGACCGGACAGGGGCCACAAACTCCTAGATCTGACTCCAGTCACTGCATGCAAGCCAGTTGTAGCACCGCATCTTCTCGATTTGATTTGTACGTCATTTGCCAGGTGACAAGTGTCCCGACGAAACTTAACAGGCCTTTTGGCATTCGTCCGCTCTGCTTCCAAAAGGGAATGACAAAGAGAATATACAAATGTACGGACGGTAAGATAAACAGACAAAGCATACAGCAAAACAATAGGATAACACAGCAAATGACCCCAGTAGAGGCGAAAATAACAACAGACACACAGAAAGCCACGTTAAACGTAACGCGCAGAGACAGAAGCTATGCAGAAAACACAGATGCAGTGTTATGCAGAAGACACAGACACATAAATTGCGTAAAAAGGAGCACAGAAATACAATCACTGTGTATGCGGAACGGCAGTAAGGGCGACAAATGTGGGGATGACACGTGGCACCTGTAATTGGGCAACTCAAACTGACCGTGCCATGGGAATAAAGTCATACAGGGCAGTACCAGCAAGAATACTGCTCTGCCATCACTTGACTTCAGTTCGAATCCAAGGCAAGTTTAAGGTGTTCGGAGGAGCAGGCGTGCCCCACCCCAGTACTGGTGCTAACAAGCGTGAAGGGTCCCTCCGACTGGGTTTGAGCTCATGAAATACTGGCGCCCGGCCGAAGCTCTGAACGAGCACCCAGCCAACAGGACGCGATTTCGCACCGCTAACGAAACGCCCCACCTTATCCTCGAAGACCTCCGCATTAATCAGCCGCAGCAGGTGTCGCGCCAGCTCCAGCTTCTTCGTCTTAAAGCCGGTGACGAAGGCGGCGGCCTGCGGGCAGCGGCGGCGGCCCTCCACCAGGTGGGTGGCCAGCGATGACATGAAGCTGAGTTGGCGCGGCGTGCTGCGCGGCCCGGGCGTGGCTCGCGCCGCCGAGCCCAGCGGCTTTCGCGCCTGAAGACACGACCAGTGTCACCACGATCACTCCGCCACACGGCCAGACATCGGCGGGGCGGCGGTACGGATAGACATCGGCGGGACCGCGGTACAGCCAGACCTCGGCGGGGCCGCGGCAGGCCCAGACCTCGGCGGGGCCGCGGCAGGGCCAGACCTCGGCGGGGCCGCGGTACGGCCAGACTTCGGCGGGGCCGCGGCAGGCCCAGACCTCGGCGGGGCCGCGGTACAGCCAGACCTCGGCGGTACCGCGGTACGGCCAGACTTCGGCGGGGCCGCGGCAGGCCCAGACCTCGGCGGGGCCGCGGCAGGGCCAGGCCTCGGCGGGGCCGCGGTACGGCCAGACCTCGGCGGTACCCGGTACGGCCAGACCTCGGCGGGGCCGCGGTACGGCCAGACCTCGGCGGGGCCGCGGTACAGCCAGACCTCGGCGGGGCAGCGGTACAGCCAGACCTCGGCGGGGCCGCGGTACGGCCAGACCTCGGCGGGGCCGCGGTACGGCCAGACCTCGGCGGGCCGCGGCACGGCCAGACCTCGACAGGGCCGCGGTACAGCTGGACCTCGGCGGGGCCGCGGTACAGCCAGACCTCGGTGGGGCCGCGGTACGGCCAGACCTCGGCGGGGCCGCGGTACGGCCAGACCTCGGCGGGGCCGCGGTACAGCCAGACCTCGGCGGGGCCGCGGTACGGCCAGACCTCGGCGGGGCCGCGGTACGGCCAGACCTCGGCGGGGTCGCGGTACGGCCAGACCTCGGCGGGGCCGCGGTACGGCCAGACCTCGGCGGGGCCGCGGTACGGCCAGACCTCGGCGGGCCGCGGCACGGCCAGACCTCGACAGGGCCGCGGTACAGCTGGACCTCGGCGGGGCCGCGGTACAGCCAGACCTCGGCGGGGCCGCGGTACGGCCAGACCTCGGCGGGGCCGCGGTACGGCCAGACCTCAGCGGGGCCGCGGCAGGGCCGCTCGCCGTCGGACCTGCCTGACAGCGCCGCTCGCCGCGGGTCCGTCTGGCAGCGCCGCTCGTCGCGGGCGCGCGCAATCCGGGTCACCCGGCCGGCCCCGGGCCGCCGCCGCCCGCGGCCGCCGGCCAATGCGAGCAAGAACGTGTGACCCGGGCGCCGCCGGCCGGACGGGCCGCAGATGCCCCGGCGGCGGGCACCGCCCGGCCGCCGCCCCAGCCGGCCGGCGCCAAATGGCTGGCGGCACGTGGGGAGGGGGCAGTTACGGCAACCTTAGGTGGTGGGTGGAGCCAGGCGGAGGCATGTGCCGACGGCAGTTCTACCGACTGATCTAGGGGAGAGGTAGGTCGGCAGGGGGGGGGGGGCGATGGTTCGTCTGGCCGCCATGGCCAAGAGTCACGCCTGAGTCGGAGAGGAAGGGGACTTGACCGTCTCCTGCGCAGCCCAGTACCGAAATGTAGCAATGCAAGGAAAACTAAAACTACCTGAAAATGCTTGGAAAGGCGGCATATTAGGTCCAGCAGTCGTAACAAACATCAACTTTTTTAAGCCTTGGAATTTTGTTGGCAGCATTGGATGCGGCACAGCTCCCATTTTTAGTGTGCATCCAGGACCCCAAGACCCCTAGATTACAGCGGTCTTACGCCAACGGATTTGGTTGCGAAATATTTTAACGAGTGATGTATTGTTATGATACAGTCGCTGAGTAACGTATTGTTATGACAAAGTCGCTCAGTGCCAGGCCCCTGACCGGCCACCAATTAAGTCATCAGCGTTACTGGGTGGCCGACCCCCATGCCTACCAGTTGCCACACAGTGGTGAGAAGCCCAGCGGTTGGTCATGCAAGCTATGTGGACGGGTCAGCGGGTCACAGGTCTGGACCGAGTAAAAAGTCAAATATTGCAAGTGTCAACCAATCGTGTCACAGCGGAGCAATATTTTTCGGATACCGAGTTTGAAAAGCAAAGCAGAGCTATTGTATGCGCAAGCATATAAAAGGCATTACCACAAGCATTGTTCTGACACGCTGATGACATGGTCTAAGCAAAGTAAATTGTTCTGAAAAACATGTACGGACAATAAAAGCATGCAGTTAAAGCTTCTTCGACCATGTGTTTCAAACTTTGATTGAAAAATCCCGGGACCTTTCGTTGTTCTATACAAAGACAATACAAACGTTAACAGAAGACCTACAGGGGCTAAGAGGAGACGGCATGGTTTTCCCGACGTCATGCCAAACATGCGCCGGACGTCAGCAGCTCAGCGCTGAGTACCTGAGGCCGAGGCGGTCTGAAGACGGGCTCGTCCGGTGACACGCCGGTCGCCTCGGGCGACTCGTCGCTGGCACAGATCAGCGGGTCCGGCCTGCCGGCAGCGGACATCAGCTCAGCGTCAGCAGCGGACGTCAGCTCAGCGTCAGCAGAGGACACCGGCTCAGCGTCAGCGGCGGACACCAGCTCAGTGTCAGCAGCGGACGTCAGCTCAGCGTCAGCGGCAGACACCAGCTCAGCGTCAGCAGCGGACACCAGCCCAGCGTCAGCGGCAGACACCAGCTCAGTGTCAGCGGCGGACACCAGCCCAGCGTCAGCAGCGGACACCAGCTCAGCGTTAGCGGCGGACATCAGCTCAGCGTTAGCGGCGGACATCAGCTCAGCGTCAGCGGCGGACACCAGCTCAGCGTTAGCGGCGGACATCAGCTCAGCGTCAGCGGCAGACACCAGCTCAGCGTCAGCAGCGGACACCAGCCAACGGCAGACACCAGCTCAGCGTCAGCGGCAGACACCAGCTGTGTCAGCGGCGGACACCAGTCAACGGCAAACACCAGCTCAGCGTCAGCGGCGGACAGCAGCTCAGTGTCAGCAGCGGACAGCAGTCGAGCGTCAGTAGCAAATACCACTTCAGTGTTAGCGTCAGACACCAGCTCAACACCCAACATGGCCGCCGCGGACCGGTCGGCTTCGCACGCAGAGCTGGGGCACGAGCGCAGGCACGTACAACCGCGACTAGACAGTCGTCAAACGGTGATAGGATCGGTCGGCCCGGACCGAACCCGGACAAATAAGATGACAAACCGAAAGTCAGGGATTGGGAGTCGCCTGTGACTCAAAAGAAAACCGAGAACCAGCTATGAAGCTTTCCCCGAGCGTTTCGTAAGCCACAGTTCCAGCGCACCGCCTACAACTCGGCGTCCATCCCTGCGCCTCCACCGCTCCGCTCCACGCTCAAACCTGCCCCGCTCTCCCACAGCGGCTGAATCCACCGCCGGCGCGCCCTCCAGGCCGGCATGTGGCGCCCCCCCCCCCCCCCTCCCCCCGGCCCTGGCGCCCGGCGGCGGCTCACCGCGGGTTGCGCGCGCGGGCGGCACCGGCCACCGCGCGGTGGTATATGAGCTCGTCCTCGCTCGTGGAGTCGTCGTTGATGAAGTCGTCTTCGTTTTCGCTCGTTGAGGATAGTGCGCGGGCTTTCCGTCTGGGCGTGACGTACAGGCGTTTAACTGAAAATCAGGTGCACAGCTTAGAGGCGTGCACGCTTAGCTTGGCTAATACGCACTCTTCGAATGGGCATAATCAACATGATGGAGGGATGGAACGCTGGACCACACACATATGATACATTCGGGTGCAAATATCGGTTATTTAGTAAAACAAACTAGTTTCGTGAGCTGGCCCGACCGTGAGCTGGCCCGACCATTGAACCTAACTCGTATTTCCGTCAACAGAGAGCAGCACCACTCCACCTCCCCGCTCCACGGCGGCGCTGCTGACGCCACCGCCACTCACATTTCTCCAGCTCATCTCCGGAGGAGGACCCCGAGTTGTGACGCGGCCGCTCGCGCCGCGGCGCACCCGCCGCCGTGCCGACCCCCTCCGGCTGCGGACGCTCCTGGTGACCGGCTCCGCGTGGCGGCTTGGCCGGCGCTGGCCGGCGCGACGGCGGCGGCGGCGGAGCCGGCGTCTCGCCGGTCGACGGCGGCACGCCGGCGACGGCGGCGCGCTCCGAGACACTGAGCAGGTCCGAGTCGTCCCACTCCGAGTCCGAGTTGATCACGACCACGTCCGACTCGTCCGAGGGCACCGTCAGGAACGGGCTCTCCTCCACCCAGCGCGCCACGTCAGCGCAGTCGGCCGGCGGTGCGTTCAGAGCCGACGGCGGAGCGGGGGGCGCGGCCAATGCTGGTGGCGGAGCTGGAGCTGCCGGTGGGGACGCGGCCGCCGGAGCTGGCCACGACTCACGCGGACTCCCAGCAGGGGCGGTGGCCGGCGTCTCCTCCCGCACCTCCAGCGACCGCCGACGGGGCGCGGGCGCGCCAACCGCAAGGACGAGCGAGGCGCTCTCCGGGTCGGTGGCGACGGACGCGTCCGGCGGCGGGCGCCCCGTGGGCTCGCGTCGCTCCACTGCAGCCTCCGCCGCGGGCGCCTCGCCCTCGGCCCGCTCCCAGCTCCCGTGAGCAGAGGCCGCGCCCGGCCGACCGCCGGCGAGCGGCCCGGCCTCCAGCACGGGCGACGGCAGGCCGGCTACGTCCGGCGGTTGGGTGGGCGCGCCCACGGCTGGGGTGGACGTGGAGGCGGGCAGGCGCCGCAGGGCGCGCAACAGCAGCGGCGCCGAGCGGCCACCGTCGGCGACGCCGCTCTCGTCCGAGCTCTCGAGCACGGCAGCGGCGGGGCGGCGGCGCACCAGCCGCCTGGGGGTGAAGTACGGCAGGCTCTGCTCAGAGCCCGAGCTGGAGGCGGCGTCCGGCTGGACCGCAGCCGGCCGGACCTCGCTAGCAAACGGCCGGGCCACGCTGACAGTCGGCCGGGCCTCGCTAACAGCCGGCTGGGCCTCGCCAACAGTCGGCCGGGCCTCGCTGACGGCCGGGCCCGCTAACAGCCGCTGGGCCTCGCCACCAGTCGGCCCGTGCCTCGCTGACTGCCAGCCGGGCCTCCGCTGCAGTCGGCCGGGGCCCTCGCTGACAGTCGCGCCGGGCCTCGCTGACAGTTCGGGGCCGGGCCTCGCGCTGACGTCGGGCCGACCTCGCTTACAGCCGCCGGGTCCTCGCGAAAAACGGCCGGGTATCGCTGGCACGGCCGGGCCTCGCTGACGGCCGTCGGGCCATCGCTGAAGGACGGCCGGGCCTCGCTACGGTCAGGCCGAGCCTTGGTGACGACTGGTGACGAGGCGGCCGGGACTCGAACGAGTCGGACGGAGAGTGGTCGGTGTCCTCGCTGCCCGGCGAGGGGGGGCGTTGTCACACTGCCCGCCGCCCCAACCGAGGTCAGTCGCACATTTCACAGACGGCTCTGGTGGGATGAGGGAGATGTCAGCTCCACTGGCGCTACCTTCGTCATAGGCGTGGGCCTTTCAACGCCGTCCTCTAGCGGCCGTGTCGTCTTCGACGGTTCGTCCCAGCCGTTCCGCCCCGTCTTGGGAGCACCGCGCGTCGTGTCCGCCGCCGGACCTCGTCGCCCTAACAACGCCAGCTCCTCCTCCACCACCGACTCCTCCGGCCGCGTCTTCAGCTCTGTCTTCAGCTCTGGCCGTCTCAGCAGCGCGCCCTCGTCACAGGCCGACGGCTGTCGCTCGGCCAGCGGCCGGAGCGGCGGCCGGGCCGTGGCCAGGGGCAGCGCGTCAGCCGCCTCGCCGATCTCGGCTAGCGTCGGACGCGAGAACAGCCGGCGGCCGGGGCGGCGGGGCGAAGGCGGCGCGTTCTCGCGCTCCGACGCCGGCTCCGGCCGCCGCCGCGACAGCTTGTTGAACTCTGCCGTCAAACGCGAGCGGTCAGCTGACGGCCAAACCACTGACGTCAGGCTAATCCTCGCCCAGTGCGTTCATCGCCAGGTCATGCCGCGCTATCCCGGACAGCAACAGGGTGGGCAAAATTTAACACAGTAATGACGGATAAGACAGCAAGGGCTGTGAAGGCAAGCAGTGGCAAACACAAATCTTATATCGCTTTGCTTCACATGAAACGCCATAGAGTTGACATCAAAGTTGTCCATAAAAGGAGATAACAGCGAAATGGCCTTCATGCCGGCACGCCACAAGCCAGACCACCGTCACCATCTGACAACTGTAAGCCCATGTCCATCATCTCTGATCAATAAACATCCACACAAATACCTAACAGATGCTTTCACAAACCATATTTTCATTTTTATGACTAACTCTTCAATCATACAAGAATAGTGATCTGACTTCCTTCCAAACTAATCATTCACTAGCATGCACACTACATACCAGCAACTTTCTTGGACGACCTTCCAGCTGCTCTTTTAGTGATGTTTCTGTCCATGCCAATTGGTGTAGGGGAGCCATCCGGACAAAACATGGACATACGGACCGTCGCTCGCTTCTTCATCTTTCCTGGATGGAAATAATACCATTATATCACAACACTGGTGACCTACAAAATCAAAGCGATGATCTTACAAAAGAACAGGCTGCAAAAGCAGCACTTTCTTGTGTGTATGGTGCATATGGTGTCACATTTTTGCATACTTATGCAGCTTCTTGTTATGACAATGTGCAAGACCCATCAAAGGTCATTTGGTGTTGGAAACCATTGCATCTTCCACCATTCACAGCTGGGACTCAGACATAGACAAACTGTGCCTTGACACATATTTTTGAGACATTGGTACCTTTGCAGGCATAAGGGATTGGAGCAGTTCATTTATAAGGTATATATACAATACTGAATACAGACAATGGTCAACTAAGCCACTTGGTTACTTCAGGCTGTTTCACTGGGGGTGATGCAACATGTCTACACTTGCTGTTCTATTTGCAACTTAAGTCCTTTCAAAAAAAGTCAGATGCATGTATACCATGTGCACCACATGCTGGCAAAAGAATGCTGAAAATGGGAGATATATTAGCAGAAATTGACTCAGGATGCAAAAATGCAATATGCATCAAATGAAATTAATACACAACATATCGCTATTGCCTTATTACATGGAAACATGAAAGTATAACAGCTATGCTGTCACCTTCATGCTTCAGGCTAGGCCCCTGCATATCACAGTAACCAACAGTGAGAAGTAACCTGAGCCAAGCTACTGACGGGCAGGTGTGTCTCCAACCACAGCCAATGCTATTTTTGCATTAAGTTCTACCTGCAGCGGTGCATGTTTTTCCATTACCTGGCTGTCTTAAACCTGAATACCCCATTGTTACCCCAACAATACCCATGTCATCAAGGTGGAACACCCAAGGTGACACTACAAATAAGATATCTGATGGTCATATGAGAGGCCCTTAAATGAGCTAGATCACATGGAGAAATTCACATAATTTGGTCATGACTAAATCTTAAAAAGTTAAATTGCATCAACATAGTATGGCAAAAGCAACACAAAAATGAAATGAATTCAATATTAAAAACTAAAAAAAGCATACAATGGTTAAAACTGATACAAAGAACCCTGAAAACATAAAATTTCCATTAATGTGAAGAACAAAACTTTGCATGACACCTGCAGCCCATGAGAGTACCAATTTGCTATGAAAGCTAGAAAAAATTACATTAAGTTTATGTTCACATTTGCAGATGCAGCAACATATGATGGCCAAAAAGTTTTATTCAAAAAGCATATATTGCATGGAGAACAAACACAATTTACTTCATATGCCAATGCACTATCACCAATGCAACATCCAAAAACCAACTGTGCCAAATGGCACCAATTTGCATCACTCCATTTCAAACACAGTCACAGAATGCCTCATTCCTAAACTAAGGATCATCTCACACACTTTTTATAGATCAATACATAAATATTCACATGCATATCACATTGATATTCTGGAATAACCAGTAAAGGATCAGACCAAATCCCACCACACACCCAATGGCAAAAGCATCCTGTGATACACCACCATTGACAAGAACAGTCACAATCCTACATGCCACAAAATTGGCACACTCAGAAACTGATCTGATTGGCAGTGTCAACAGGCAGGCAGACTTTTGAGAAGTCATTTAACAGCTCATCAAATGCCAGCTCCAGCACTTGATATTCACTGAGACTTTGTAACCTTTCAGTGTTCGGCAATGAAAGAGCATAAAACTTCCATTTCAACGCAAATGTAAACCCAATCTCATCAATTAGTTATTTACCGATATCACAACTGTCAATTTTTTACAATCCTGCGTTAGCCTACACTTCTTTCTACCAGACAGCGTGAAGATAGGTGTAATAAGATCATCAGGCTTTTTTTGCTCAGGCCCATTAATCCTACACCTTTGTACAGAAAGGTAATCGGCTAGTTTACACCGTGCATTACCACGTCACTAACCAGCACACACCCCACTGCAGACCCAACAACCGTGCTTTCCATTCACACCGTCACTCTGTACGTAAGCGGCATCGGCGTCCCCGACAACGAACGAGCCGTCATGCGCAACAACTGCGTCGTTCAAAAGGCTACCGGATTTTGGGAAGAGCTACCATATAAACAAGGGCGGAGGTAATAGTAAAAATTACCCACTGCCCAAAAAAAATCGGTAGCCGACGACAAGTGCGGGCCGTGCTCACATGCATGGGCGTAGGAACAGGGGTCCAGGGGGCCATGGCCCCCCAAGGGGGGCCATGGGGGGCAGTGGTGTTAACTGCCCTCCTCATTTTTCAGATTTAGGTTGTGTTTGGCTTACTGTTGCACTGCATTAAAGGTTTATGCCGATTTTCCTAGTTCACCAGCCATATTCCTCAAGATGCGTCACCTTTTTTGGTTGCTCATTGGCCACCATTTAGTGCTACACCCGCAGGGCCGACGCCGCGCGGCCTATGGAGGCCAAAACGCCGGACATCGAGGCTGACGTTGCTACGAGTTGCGAGCGCGAATGTTCAAACCATGTCACATAGTTTTTATCAGTGATCAATTCCGACTGGATCTTGAACATTTTAAGACGAACATGGATTAGCTATGCTAATACAAATTTGGAACCACCATCTCACCTACAGTCTACGTTCAGGGAGTTCTCAGTATCTCTGAAGAACACAACAAACGTGAAACCGGAGTCTATGTGACAATTATTGGACCACCTGCGGCGATCAGGGATGTTGTTGCGTCAGTGAGGGTTTCTGTGCTGATACGGGGCGAACTGCGTGGCTCAGGAGATTACCCCTGTCAGGATAAATAAAAAAATAACATACAGCTGCTCTTGGTGGAACGAAGAGTGCAAAGACGCCATTCGAAATCGTAAAAGGCCACTTAACGGATTTAGACGGAGTCGACGGACTGTTCATCTAATGGAATACAAACAAGCTAAAGCAAAGGCCAGGTAGGTTATTCGTAACGCCAGAAGGAGCTCGTAGGAAATCGAATACAAACAAGCATTTCTCACGGAAAGACAGCCAGGAAATCCAACCCCAACAGAACGCAGAATTTTATTTCGCATATTGCCAACCTGAACATCCAGAGCGGCAGCGGGCGGCAGGCAAGAGCAATGTCGCTGTCCCACCGCTGCTGAACCTGCGACGGCACCGCCGGCCCTGCGTCGCACAGATCGGCAGCGACACACCCGTGCCGCCCGCGGGCGCGCTGAGGCACCAGACCACATGTGGGATGCTATCTCCTGCGCTTCTGTTCTGTCGCTCGCTGTGAACGCTTGCAGCGTATGGTAAGGTGTTGGGATGTGCCGCACCGAGCGCTGTGCCTTTGCCTGGGCCTGGGCCCGTCTCTGGCCGCGCCTGCGTGTGCGCCGCTGCAGTCAGTGGTGATCATGTCTCAAGGGAATTGTGATAAGAACTGTGGGGTGTGAATAGTAATATACAGACCGTGAAAACGGCGAAGGAGTCGGGAGGGGAACATGCAAGTACGGTAAAACAACAGTGTGCATGTTGTATGTTATATAGCGTGGACTATGGCGTTTAGAGTGGGATTTGGAGATTTGCAGTGTAATTGGGGAACACAAAACAGTCTGTCTGGCATTATATACAAAAATACCGAGTGGAGGTGACATACCATTCAATAGATAGGGCCATAAGGTGGGAACGCCAAAATTTTAACGCTGGGTTGGACATGGAAGAACTATGCTACATGCGAAATGGTGCAATAGTAAAAGTGCATGGGTTTTCCGGGCACGCATCATGGAATGAGAGGATAAAAACTAAAATGCCTAGACCAAGACCGTGACGAGAATTTTGCACAGGAGTGGGCTGGCTCGGGGCATAGGAACATCTCCAGTTTAGAGGGCCGGTCCCGACTAATAAGGAAAATGACGTGGCTACAAATTTTCACTAACGTAGTTTTGACACGCGCCCGGATGGCCGGTTAGTTACCGTTCGCTGGAGTGGTAGGGTCAATTTAGCCCCCTGAGATCTGAGAAGCTAAGAGAGCTAGAGACACCAAATTTGCAGGGTGTATTGGCCTGTACGTGAACTCATCTTTGTTAAGTTTTGAGGTTCCTAGGTCATGATTTTGGGTCAAATAAGGTTAACAAGGTCAAACTCCAGATTGTGTTTAAAGTTTCCCAGACCTTCTCATGCAAACACCGTGAACCTAGATACTTGTTCTAAGCAACGAGACCCTGGTGGTCATTTAAGTTCAGTGACCTTGTGTGACCCTTTAAAGGTCATGTTGCCCAAAATCATACAAGACTGCTTTGATTTTTGCATTTGAATAGGCGCCAAGGATTGCGCTAGGCAGAATATCCCCAAAAACAAAATGTTGATCTGGTTTAGTTTAGGTCAGTGACATTCTGATCTTTAAAGTCTGTGGAATATCATAATGCGGTTTCTGCCATTATAAAACTCAAAATGAACACTAGAATCTATCTCACACAGCAAGTTCTAGAATATCAAAACAAGTCGGGTTTGACCTTGGTCTGACCCTCATACCCAATTCTACGTCAACAAAATTTGTTCATTATTTGTTGTGTTGCCTGGGGAAACTATCACGGAGATGAATGACTTCGTCTAACACCTTGTTGTTGCATCAAATTAAAAGACTTCCTGCGAATTGTTTTCGCTCAATTCATGGCCTGACTTTGACCTGTCATATATAAGTGGCCTTACAAGATACATCTGAATGCTTTATATCGCATAATTCACTATTCCATTGTTTACAGCCATGAAAAACTTGGTGCAAAATAATTTCTGAAAAACCTGGGGGGGGGGGAAGGGCAGGGCTCCAACTGACTCTTCCCACCCGAGCACGTGTTAACACACACTCGGGTCGAGGGGGCAAATTGACCCTCCCCCGAAGATTTTTTGAGAATGGTTTCCGAAAGACGCGGCGCAGCCGCGCCAAATTTTGTATAGCTGTGGACAATTGAATAGTGAATCGTTTGGCATTAAACATCTAGAATTCCGTTGTAAGGTCGCTGACCTATGGCAGGTCAAAGTTAGGTCATGGTTTCATCGAAGGCAATTTCTAGGGAATTCTTCGATCTGATCCAACAACGAAGTATTAGACGAAGCCATACATCTCTGAGATGCTTTCCTAGGCGACACAACGGTTGAATGAGTAAATGAAATTGACCTAAGGTCAGGTACAAAGGTCACACCAAGGTCAAAACCAACCTGTTTTGTTACACTAGGGCTTGCTGTATGGGATAGTTTCTGGTGCTCATTTCGAGTTTATTGTTAGCAGGAGCCGCATCATTCATCTTCCATGGACTTCTTAGAGGTCAGAAAAGGTCATTGGCCTAAAATGAACCAGGTCAGCATTTTGTTTCAGGAACATACTGCCTAGCGTCTTTGTCGCGTAATCAAATGCAAAACTCAAAGTAATCTTGTATGGTTTTGGTCACCTTGACCTTCAAAAGGACAAACAAGATCACTGACCTTAAGTGAGCATGTGAACTTTTGCTTAGAAACGGTCGCCTAGATTCTGGGGGCACTTTGGAGACCAACCTGGAACTTTACCTTGTTTTACCTTTTTTGACCCGAAGGTCATGCCCTAGGAACCTGAAACTTTGCTCTGAGTGAATTCAAGGTCAACTCGCTCTGTAAGTTTGTTGTCTCTAGCTTTCTTTGTTCCCGAGATTTCAAGGGGGTCAATTTGGCCCCCGCCCCCCCCCCCCCCCTCCACCCGAGCAAAGGGTGTCTAGGTGGCCACCCGGGCGCGCGTTTTTTATTTGATTTGATTTGAAATTTTGACACATGTAAGTTCACGTATAGGTTAACACATTCCGTGAAATTAGTGCCTCCCGCCTGCTCAGCTTTCGAGAACTCAGTGATGGAAGAGGGGGGGGGGGGGCAAAATTGACCTCGACCCGAGCGTAGGGTATTCAATCGACCACCCGGACGCATAATAAAATACAACGTGGCCGGGTGTGGGTTTTTACCCAAATTTTCGGAATTCAAGAGACTGTTATGTCTTCCTACATTATGTGATGCCCGCGAACAAATGTAAAATTGAGCAAGTTTCATCACTGCTATTAAAATCCTCGCCAAAGGTGTCACTTTTTGCAGCCGGTTGACGGGCTCAGCCGAAAATGTTGACTTAGCTTACCACCAAAGTCTAATTTCTCCCCAGATTTCGGCCATTTGAATATGCGTCCTCAATGTCAAGACTGCTTTTTTGTGAAAAACTTAAAATGTGGTGTTATTCACGGAAGGAAATAGCTAAATCTTAGTGAGAAATCACTGATCACTACCGAAGTTTCCGATCATGTTGTATCACCACTACAGCCACGAATATACGACAAATACGCCTGCCACTATTGGGGAAAACATGCGTTAACTTTTGTTTGGGCCGCCCTGTACTTAAAAAACTGCCGGATATTCGGATATTGTAGTCCGGCAGTGTGTGTGTGTGTGCGTGTGTGTGTGTGTGTGTGTGTGTGTGTGTGTGTGTGTGTGTGTGTGTGTGTGTGTGTGTGTGTGTGTGTGTGTGTGTGTGTGTGTGTGTGTGTGTGTGTGTGTGTGTGTGTGTGTGTGTGGTGTGTGTGTGTGTGTGTGTGTGTGGTGTGTGTGTGTGTGTGTGTGTGTGTGTGTGTGTGTGTGTGTGTGTGTGTGTGTGTGTGTGTGTGTGTGTGTGTGTGTGTGTGTGTGTGTGTGTGAGGACCGTATTTGGACCGATTTCCCAGAACCGTATCCATCATTTAAATATCATATTGTGCCAGTTGGTGCAAGCATTGGATAACAAAACTTGCGAAACATTTGCAGGGTTGTCCTATAGGATGTCATTTAGTATAGAACCAACATTATATTATAGTGATGTGTCCGGGCACCAACTACCCATTATACCAAAAGTTAAGACAGTTGTTCTGTATCCGTTTGGCCCAACATTCCCTTGTTGCTTATTTGCATTGGGAGGGGGGGGGGGGCTCAGAGAACACTGGAGGGATCAGTTAGGTGGGGGGCGTTAACCCCCACCCCGCGTAAGTATATAAAGTGACGCCGCTGAGATTGGCCTCAAGTTCCGTGTAGGCCTGTGAATCACTGAACTTTTACGACGCACTGAGCTGCTGTGGCTAGGTGGCGTCGTTCACCTCTCACCCTGGCAGGAAGGGCGGAGTGAGTTGATCTTGCGCTTGGCATCTGAACCGGCCAAGATCTGCATGTGGTAGCAGCGTAAGTGACCCCTTCACTGGCACGCGATCCGTTGTGCATGTTTTGCTGTGACCGGTGTCTGTGTCTCATCACCGCGCTCTGAACACGTGATTCTGACACAGCGTGGAATTGTGCTCAAAGTGCACTGTATTCCTGCCGTGGTTGTTACTTCCAGTGATACAGCCGACGGTGATCCTGAGGCCTCACATGCTCCTGTGGCCGCTGGCTCTCCCTGTGAGGTCATCGCGGTTCCTACCACGCCTCTCCAGACTACCATCGCGGTTCCTCCCACACCTCTCCAGACTACCATCGCGGTTCCTCCGCGGTCTCCAGACTACCATCGCCCATCGCCACTGCTACAGCTACCAGTACGTCAGTCCGGTGTAACGACGCTCACTGCTTTTGCGTTGGACCCTACGTTACCAGCCTATGATGGGAGCTTTTGTCGACGGGGTTTCCAAGGTGCCCTCTCGCCTCACTGTTCCACGCTCAGGGCAGGGCGGCCGCTGCGCACCAGCAGACAATATGGTTCGGAAGCTGAATGTACTGCGCTCGGCATGTGTGTATGCGGCCCGGGGCTTCCTGCTCGAAACGCTCTGACAGATAACGAGTCCATTATCTGGGGCGATCAGCTAGCCTTCAGCTCTCACACAGCGGGCGTAAGATGTGGATGTCTTCTTGTGACGAGTTTCAGGATGGCTACTGTTAGCTAAATATTCAATGACAGTCTCTAATGCATTCATTTTCATTACGATGCACCAATTAACATTAACAGTTCCTAACGGGCGGTCAATCGCCCTGCTGAGGATGGCCATGCTTCGCTTGAAATAGGAAATGATCTACTCTCAGTGCGTCTCCATGAAGTCGGGAGCTTGTATCTCCCATGTGTGATTGGACCGAACTTTCTAGGACAAGTTCCTGGCGTTGTCACTTTAAGAACAGGCCCCTAGCTTCTGCTCCAGAAAACTCGTTTTGGATCTTTTCCAGTCAACCCTAAACACACCTGGGTTAGAAGCTACGCTCCCACGCGTCGGTCGTGGTAAATCCCAGATGCCGCGAGCGTATCTCTTCGGCACAGCGCCGCCCCTCGCCGAACACCGGTCCGTGATCTGGAAATCGATCACAGTGCAGGGCCACTTAATTCTGCCTCGGAGATCCAGTCACTGGCTGCCCGCAGGTTCCGAGAAATCAGTTTACACTGACGGCGCAGAACTGCCTACCTCTGAACGACACAGAGGTGTGTATCTAGCTCTGAACCACGCAGAGTTTTCTAGCTCTGAGCAGCGCAGAGTTATCTGCCTCTGAGCAGCGCAGAATTATCTACCTCTGAACGGCGCAGAGTTATCTAACTCTGAACGGCGCAGATCTATCTACCAGTTTCAAGAGGTCAAACTTGGTCGCCAATAACAAGGTTTGGCTTGGCTCGACCTTGGTGGCCCGATCTTACAAAAGCAGCTGGAACAATGGTAATGTTCTTCAAAGAACAATTAAGAAAAGTCGATGGCAAGCATATGAATTGCATTTCCTGCAAAAATGAGCGTTCTTTATCACTTTGTCAAAAACCAGAAGACCTAAAAGTATAAATTTCGACAAGTGTGAAATAGATTCCAACGCAGCATGTGAGCATTTCAGCATCATGGTCAAAACGGTTCAGAAGATATTACGGAAATCCTCGTGATGGGATGCTTCTGAGACATCCCCGTGAGGTGAAGGGTGCTTCTGAGGCACCCTGCGTAGCGCAGGGATGCTTCAGAGGCACTAGCATAGGGTAAAGGGTGCTTCTGTGGCTTCTGAGGCACCCTGTGTAGGGCGAGGGGTGCTTGAGGCGTGCTGCGTGGGGTGAAGGGGTGGTTCTCAGGCACCCCTCGGAAGGTGAGGGTTAATCTGCTCCTGTAGTTTCAGCAGTCAATAACGGCGTAACCAGCTCCGCTACCTGCCCGGCCGAGACCACCGTCTGACCTCAGTTCTGACGACAGCGGAAACCCAGCATCAGAAGGAACCTCCGTCTATCAATGTACAGCTGCGTGATCTCAGTGAGTAAATGTCTGCTTCCAATGCTCCGCTGGACGAAGACGAGATATGCCCTCAGGGCTGGATTACCGGACCGAGTGGGTCTGTTTGGAGGCGAACTACGCCCGTGAACTCAACGTCCCGGGCGCTGGTCGGCACCGTGCTAATCCCGCGGCGGGGCGATCACTTCCTGGCTGCCGTCATCCCCTGGGAAGGAGCCGCCCTGGAAGACGCTGCCTGGGCCACGCTTGGATCGTATAACCCCTGCCTATATCAGCATACGCGCTACCTAACTGTGTCGTTGAGGTGGAAGCGCTCTTTTCTTCTGTCTAATTTCTTTTGGAAGTGATGTCTTGGTCAAGTATGTGTAACAGCTGCACCGCTTGTCTTCCTCAATTGCAGGGCCAGATTGGGACACAGCGTGTATTACATAGGCTGACGATGATACCCGCTCTTCCCAAAGAGCTGGTGCGCGCAGCGGGACAAACCGCGGCACGACAGCGGACCCAAGCGCGTTACACTCTCGCCAACGGTGATGTCTCCGTCCTTCTCCGCCTCCACACACGCAGCACCCACCCCAGGAACATCCAAACTGGGGGATGGTGGAGAGTAAGCATCCTCATAGCGCATACGTGCGCACGCCGAGAGGGGGAACACCAACCCCGTCGTAGCGCGTCACATATTTGACCCAGCTGATGACGGAAGCGCGGCGGTTCTACTTCGCAGGAGTAAGCCTGGGCGGCACGCTGAGACCCAGTTATGTATCAGCTAGTGGCACACTGGGGCTGGAGTCTTGAACATCGGCCGAGGAAAGACTCAGACATGAACCAGCTGTGTACACCGGATGAGATTGCTTCAATCCCGCTTTTGATCACCTGTGCCCGTTAGTACCCTGTGTGACATTCTTAGATGTCTTTTGGTTCCATGAATGCACAGAGTTTTCTTGCCAGTCAAAACCCGAAACGACATGAGAGATGGAAAAGTCAGGGCAAGTGTACCAGACCCCGATCCGCGTGGAACAGGATGTTGGTAGATGGCCTTTAAGCATGACAAAGCTCAACATACGAAACCATGCGTCGGTCAGAGGCATGACGGGCACCCGAACGATGCGAATTGAGTGCAGGCGTCACACATGAAGCTGTACAAATGACGACACTTCGTCTCAGGGTGTCTTTCTGGCTTGCTTGCATACAGGAACCTAATAGCCTACAACGAAACAAAACTACATACATTGATGCCTAAGATGTCTAGAATGGAACATACACCTTGCACAGATCAAAACATAGCTGACATTTTGGTGCCCCAACTATCGACAACAAAACATGCACCGACACACAACCGTATGCGTTGTAATGTAACACTTGCTAGAGCGTACTATATGACAACATGATCTGGGCATTATTTGGTCACATCGAGTGGTGACGATGATAACATTGACTGTCAGAGCTGTCAGTGAACGTTCAACCACAACGACACATTTAAACAGTTCCGAATGATGAGTCACATTTCCTTGGCCCACTCCTGCCAATGCTTAAGACAAAACCTGTCTTTTCAAAATGGTTACGTGAAGCATACTAGGAATGCATGTTATAACAACATTCGAACATCACACGCATTTTGAAAATGTAACATCTATGCCTGGGTGTTTAGCGTGATTTGGTTGTTTGATTGATTTCCCTTTCGGCCAGTCAGTCATTTGAGGGCCACGAAGTGGAGAAGGGTGGATAACGTTGGGTCGAAGTGCACCTGGGGACCCGCCCGTCGGCACTCGACTGGTGCAGGGACCCGTCCGTCGGCACTCGACTGGTGCAGGGACCCGTCCGTCCGTCGACACTCCACTCGCACAGGGACCAGTACGTCGACACTCCGCTCGCGCAGGGACCCGTCTGCGTTGCAAACTTCCCCCTTCCCTTTACGTCTCTCCAGGGAACCCCACGTATATGCGCTCGGTGCTCGGACGGAGGCCCGTCAGAAGACACTTCGGCCCGCTCATGGCTGGTGCGTTCAATGCCGGCGCAGCACGGCTCAAGCGCGGTGTGACGCCAGTCAGTTTGAAGACAGCTCATGCTGATTATTGTACTAATTTGTTTTTCTACTACATTTAAACATAAGCCAAACGAATTCCAAACATGCTCAGACCGAAGACCGGCATATAACACCCAGAGGAAATCGCATGATCTCATCCGCAACCGCCTCCTCACTGCCATCTATCGACCACAACTAGCACTTTGAGTCAGTAACGGTGGCGTGGGAGGTCAGCAGCGCCTCGTTGGGGAGCGCTGTCCTGTGGGAGCTGGTGGGTGCTTCTGAGAACGCTTTGTTGACGGGCATCACGTGCAGGCTGGTCCGCTGAGTGAAGCCCACACTCTCCGAGCCGGTCACGTTCACTGCAAACAGGGCCAGCCGTGAGAACGGGCGGCGCGTGGGCTCCGCCACGCGGAGAGGGCACGGTCGCCGTGACTGGGTGGGTGGGACGGCCATCATATGGGGTGGTAGGCGCAAGAGCGGGTGGGGCAAGCGGGCATGCGCCGTCTACACTTCACGAAACTTAACTATCTCTGTGACCATGCTGACCGAGAAGAAGACTCCCCTTCCCGGCCCCTGTGCTGAGTCACGTTAGCATACTCTTTTGACTGAACAAACTGACCGAAACGTATGCTTGGAGCAAGAACGTGCTACAGCCACAGGTCTGGGGGAGAGACCATGCGGCGCCCGCTACCGACTCCATGATCTACTGACCGCGATATATTGCACATGGCCGCTTGTTGCTTATGAAATTTTCGCCATTTTCCCGGTAGCTTTAATAACACGATTGCCCAAGAACGAAAGCGTCCATATTTTCCGGTCCCGAAACGACGAGCGCCCAGGCAGCGATAATGGAAACTGCGCTACGTTCGTGGAAAGACTGCGCTTCTTACCAGGGTCGCGGCAAGCGGAGCTTGCTACGGCACGGCTTCCACGTTCAGCCCATTAGGGAACCGGCACCACCCACACATCCCATCACGCGCACCTTAGCAAAACGCGCTGGCGAGCACTCTGTAGCGGGAGGGCGTCACGGCACCTCCACTGCACTGGGTCGTGTGCCCAGGTTGTGTCAACGCAACGCTGATGACCTCATAGATCTCGCATAGATGACTCAGAGTTGAATCATTGATACAACGATAAATGTGTACCCCCCCCCCCCCCCCCGTCCTCCTCCAGGTGGTTATTAACACTTGTTTTCCGGCTAGCTAATAGGGGTGTATTTCGATTTTGAGCAACCATCTTTCAAAAGACACTCACAGACATCACGTTAAAGACTACAGGTGACAGTGGTCCGAACCAACTGTGAGGCGGGGGGGGGGGCTCACACCTGCGCGCTGCCCCCGCCCGCTGATGACGTACCGGACTCACGGCGATGCTGGACGCAGATGCTGTACCTCGCTGTCGCTGTCTTCATCCGGCTGTAGAACTTGGTGGTGGTGAAGGTGTAAAGGAACGGGTTGACCGCTGAGTTAATCGGCAGCACAAACACCGCGATCCAAGCGTGCAGCTCCACTGAAAGGACGGCAAAACGTCGCAGACCGCCATCCTCTTTCCACACGCCACAACAGCCTGCACTGAACAGTCGAACGCATTGGGAAAAATGGCGAGCGCGATCCTTGAACTCTCATCAGGAGAACAGCTCACCGCTCCGTGTCCGGGGCTGACCTGTGTACGTTTGTTAAGGAGCGGTTGGCCAAGTTTCTTCAATTGTCTTTTTTCTGGGCTATTATCCCCGTATGTATTTGCGCGGCATGGAAGGATATTTCACCTCAAATTTAATTACTTCTGTATCCATCTGCTTGAGGACTTGTAACTCGGATCCTAGCTCTGTGCAGCTTACAAATCGTTTGCGCCAGAGCACGAAGCGGAGTGGACCAATCCGGCGGCTACTAACATCAGATTCAGTCCAGCGGATCGGATGTGTTCCGGATGGTCAACTTTGCTCAGAATACGGATTTAGCGGATTCGCGATGGCGTTGTCATGAATTTTCGGTTCCTAGTTAACTTCCAATGACGTTTCAAAACACGACAACATTTGAGCTGAAATTATCTTTTTGCATTGACATCATGTTAACGTAGAAAGAAAAATCCTCTTGGCAACAATCGAGGCCGCGCTGGCAATTTTTCAGAGGTGGAAACGTTCAGGGGGCTGCTAATTACGACCTTCAGAGTTAAACTCCAAAAGTCTTAGAACATTTGACTGGGTGGAGTACTCGTGGCGAGTTATGCAGTAATAGCACATGGGGAGAGAAAATCAGATTGCTGTAAGATGGAAGCCTAAGCAGAGGTAAAGTGATTTGAAAGAACAGGACTATATAGGTGAATTGACATCCACTAACACCATTCAAAACACACACACACACGCCCGCGCGTTCGCCAGCACGCACGCATGAGAGAAGACTTGCTCCTAACGTACTTCAATATATATATATATATATATATATATATATATATATATATATATATATATATATATATACTTATATATATATAAGTATATAAGTATAAGTAATATATAAGTAACAACAATATATATATACGCATATTTACACCAACACGTATCTATATTTATTTATATATACCATTTGTATTCTTCTTACTTACACTTGCATTGGATGGCTTTAGTGAGAAAGTTTCGAATACAAGCAGCCATACCTAATAATATAACACTATAACAGTATATATACATATATATATATATATATATATATATATATATATGCAATAAGCATGCATACATACATCGTACACGAAAGTTTTCCTGGCGTTACCTGGCTTTACTGACCTTTGGCTTATTTTGAGTTAATACATCCCGTTGGGTCAGCCTTAGAGCAATTTCTCCCCTTCGGATTGAATCCGGATCAGGATCAGGGTTGGATCAGGATCCTCTCTGACCCAATGCGAATTTGATTGGATTCAAGTGTATTTATTAGACAACGTTCAGTTCGTATTCACCTCGTATGTACGCACGGTCGCACGTGGGCCCCGAACTGTAACGCTATGGACGATAATATACGCAAGAAAGATCATGATCCCCTGGTTTTCCAGACGATCAGCTCCAAATTCGTATGCTGAAACTTGCCAACCTTTAATTTTCTGGAGGCACCTGTTCCACGAATTATTCAGCAAACATTGGTCAAATTTTCCATTTTCCATAGCCGTCGTCTGAAGCTGTGCTAACGGCCACTCATGACCACTCGGGACCCTGATCACTGTCGGTCGGCGACCATCAGTACAAGACCTCTGAACAAACAACAGAACAACGACGCAATCTGCTGCTACTGTCCCATAATTTCTGCCGCCGATTGCAGCAAATTCCGCACCCGCCTTGCCACTGACCCTCCTTCAGCGAATCAGATCGGCCGCAACTTGCAATCTGCACAGCAATATGTACCGAACGCGTCATCTCCCCGGCGGACCGTTGTGCATCAGCCGAACCAGGACGGAGGCACACGCCTAATCCTCGGGGAAATCAAAGCCACAGACGTTCAAACTCTATCCGAACTCGGGCACAATGATCGCCACGAGACTGCGCAACCGTATGTGCTCTGAAATCGCATCGCCTAAATTGTATCACATCGCGCGCAATGCGCGTGGCTTTTGGCTCGTTGTTGCACTGCATGATCCGCACTGCGTATGTGTTTTTTTTTACCTTAACAAGCGCTCGGGTGGGGGTCGAATTGACCCCTTCGAAGGGTTTTTCAGAATGGTTTCCGAACGGCGCGGCGCAGCCGCGCCACCTTTTGCATAGCTATAGACAACTGAATAGCAGATCGTTTGGCATAAAAAATTGAGATGTGCCTTGTAAGGTCGCTGACCTATGACAGGTCAAAGTCAGGCCATGGTTCCAGCGAAGGCAATTTCTAGGGAATCGTTAAATCTGATCCAACAACGGAGTGTCAGACGAAGGCATATATCCCTGAGGTGCTTTCTTAGGCAACACAAATATTGAATGAGCAGAACCTGTTGATCTAAGGTCAGGTATGAACGCCAAACCAAGGTCGAAACCAACCTGTTTTATTACTCTACGGCTTGCTGTATGAGATACTTTCTGGTGCTCATCTCAAATTTGTTGATCGCAGGAACCGTGTTATACATATTTCATAGACTTCTTAGAGGTCAGAACAGGTCATTGACCTAAAATGACGCAGGTGAGCACTTTGTTTTAGGAACACACTGCCTAGCGTAACCTCCGTCGCTTAGTGAAATGCAAAACTCAAAGTAATCTTATATGGTTTTGGTCTCCTTGACCTTCAAAATGTCAAACATGGTCACTGACCTTTAAAGAGCATGTGACCTTTTGCTTAGAAACGGTTACCTAGGTTCTGGGGGCACTCTGGAAACCATCCTGGAACTTGACATTGTTTTACCTTTTTTGACCCGAAGGTCATGTCCTAAGAACCTGACACTTTGACATAAGTGAGTTGATGTACAGGTCAGGACACCCTGTAAATTTGGTGCCTCTAGCTTTCTTAGTTTCCGAGATCTCAGAGGGGGGGGGGTAAATTGACCCCCACCTGAGCGAAGGTTATCTAGCCGGCCACCCGGGCGCTTGTTAACTTGTGGTCACTGCTGTCCGATCGTCTGCATCACAGGCATCTGCATGCTGGCGGCTGTCAGGCAGTTTTTGATTGCTTGAGGCTTGCCGCAGGTTACTATGGAGCTAAGAGAATAGAGGCGTGCAAAAACAAGCACAGCTGACGACGAGTCTGGTAAACCGTTAATCGGTTGGTTAATGGCCTACCAGTGTTAATCCTTTTTGTTAATGGATCAATACTCTCATTGATGTAAAAAACAATCATGGTCCGATTAACTTTTGTGAACTTTCTGCCCGAAAGCTTGCAGACCGTGGGCCTTTTTAAACAAAAAATTGATCGAGTTTGTGGAGTCAACTTTCGCAAAAGCGGCGGGTGGGGCGTTTTAGAATATGCACGATCCGAGAGTTTAGGGTTAGAGGTTTTGGGTAAATGATGGTGGATGCTGACAAAGTTAATTTTGCACGTTTGGGAGCGGGCTGGGACTCTCTCCCCTGAAACCACCTGGCCGATGTCCTGGATACGTCACCTGAGCCAATTTGATCTCAATGAAATAAGTTCATGATAATTGACGAAAAGAGGGCTCAAGTTTAGTTGAAACTTTGGGCGTATAAATGTTTATCAGCTTCAAGTACTGTCATCAAAGTTTGATGTGGCTGATTCTCACTCCGTGTTGTGCCAGACGAACGCAGTCTTTTCTAAAGATATCCATTCTCTTTTTGCTTTATTGTATGTTCAGGGGTGGTAAAAGTGCACTTTTTGTCGCCGACCAAATTTTTGGAGGAAAAATTCTTGCCAGTAGCGTAATGCAATATTATATGGAGAAATGGTAATTAAGTCCATGCCCACCAGCGTCGTCAGTAATCAGCCGATCACCGAAGGTCTCTTTCATCACCACAATTTTCAGTATCATGCACAGGACCGAAACGTTCAATCATGCACTGCTCAACAGATGCCAGGATAAGTCTTGCTGCTAGAAAAGCGGACGTCCCTGTCCTAGACTAATGAGATAGCCCAATCACAATAGGAGTTTTCCTCCACCCCCGGGACTTGCCGGGGCCTCACGTTTAAACTCGATCCACGGCTGGATCTGCTTTCCTCGACCGCAAAAACGAAACAACGAAGGACCTCGATAGCCAGGGCGGCAGGAAACATGGCAGATTTCGAACCAGTGGCAAGCTACACTGGGAATGACTTCGAAGATGGGGACCTCCACGAGGCCATGTCCGCTTCTGAAAATCACGTGTGCGCTTCGGGCCCCATCGTGCTGGTCGCTTGTGACTGCTTCAGTAAGCCAACAGCCTTCCCAGTGTCTTGAAAAGGCAGTTTGGATAATCACAGGTAAATTTCTACCTTGACCGTATCATCCCAACGACTTACCCTGAACTGCTAATGCCTCTCGTTATTGAGGACAGGATGATGAATCGCGGCACCGCTAATTAGGTAAGCAAGGTAAAAAATCCATCTCTAGGCAAGTATTCATGACAGTACAATGTGAATGACACTTGCAAAATTGCTGTGCGTTGAAAGCCACCGCCCATCTCATATCAACCGCATCGCAACGATTTTAACATGCCCTTGCGGCCAGATGAATACCTATATCTATATTTTTCAGTATTTCGTACTGAGTATAATACTTATATAATCATCATAATAATAATGATAATACGTAAATATGCTACTAATAATACTACTAATAATCCTGTCTAGGTCGGGACACTGAGGGCCGGCTGTTAAAAACAGCGAACCGGCCGACCGGCCGGGCCGTAGGAAGTACACTGATGTGTCGCCGACCTGTCACCGAGTCGGCCGACCATTCAACACTCGTACGATATTTTTGTCGCCGACCTGTCACCGAGTCGGCCGACCATCCAACACTCATACGGTATTTTTGTCGCCGGGCTGGAATGAAACCTAGAAGAGATCCAATGGCGCCGTGAAGTACGGTAAAAAGTCTACGGAAACGTTTGCTGGTGTTGTGTGACGAAATGTATTAACATGGAGGCATAACACCTATGTATGGAGACCTCATGTTGTGTTTTCCCTAGTGTGCTGCATTAGTTCGTCTTGACCGTCATCAAAATTTGCTGTCCAAAAACATTTTTGGCACATAGCTTCGAGTGAACACATACACTTTTGCCGCCGACCTAATCCTCCAAGAAAGCAGGTTTTGCAACCCCCGTGTATGTTCTCAAACTTCTCTTTTCTCACCATGGCTGGTAGCACAGGTGCTTGGCTTTGGAGCACGGGGATGCGTTTAAGTGACCTTGGTCAGCTCCGTACCCCGGGACTGCTCAGTTTATCTTCCAAACCGGTGGCGCATTCTGGTCCTAACTAAGTATCTTAAAACCCTCAACTGTTGCAATCTTTACCTTTAACTGGCGATGCAAACAAACATGATTTTCTAGTAGGAGAAAAGCATTCGAACTATTATGACAGTTTAAAAGACAGACGAATTTATCATGATAGCACTTCTAGACATGACCAACGCAAAAAGTTAAAAAGCATTGCAGAGGCGGAAACCCATATTATAAATGTCGGTCATGCTATGGCGTTATGCCATAGCAGTGCGGGCACCCTGAGCGAGACGAGCAGGGCAGTTGCCAGCTGCCAGTGGGGCCAGCTGTACAGCTGCCTACACGGAGCCCAGGACACCATACTGGCGACTGCATGCGTCTGATCGGATACTGGCGGCTCGTGGTATGTATCCAAGGTTTTGGGTGCGTATTTTACCACGCATCTATTTCGCTAGTTGAATTTAATCTATGCTACGCCTGTTCATAGCTCAATTTTTAGTGTATTATTGTCACCACAGACGGCACGGGAACTGCATGTGGAATATAGACGTTGTCCGGAATATCCTCCAGACATTCAGTTCAGCGTGGAGGATGCTTGAGTCACCACGATAGGAAAGCTGTCCAAGAAGTGATGGAATAAGTGAGCGTAATGTGGAGTTTATGCTTCGGTTTCGCAGGATTGAACAGCTTCAAACGGATTCGGATCTGGCGAATTCACGAGTCCTGAAAACTGGGGTCCGAATCCTGAAGATAAGGCCTCGACCAAGTATGCAGGTTGTGCTATTCACTGTACGCAAAAACGAGACTACAAACCGCCAAAGACCCGGAAAACATAGGTTTATGGGGAAGGGGATGCTCGAGTCTACAGGGATTTCAAATAATTTAACATTAAGTTATCTCAGAAACTAAGAGGGCTTAAGACACCAAAGTTACAAGGTGCCTTGGCCTGTACGTGAACTCACTTTGGTCAAAGTTCGAGGTTCCTAGATCATGACTGTTGCGGCAAATAACGTCACACAATGTCAACTCCAAGTTGGTCTTTAAAGTGTCCCCAGAACCTAGTTCCCCGTTCTAAGCAAAAGGCCACATGCTCATTTAAGTTGAATGACCTTGTTTACTTTTTGAAGGTCATGCTGAACAGAATTATGTAAGATTGCTTTGAGTGCTGCATTTGAATAAGCGACAAAAATAACGGTAGGCGGTACGTTCCTAAAAACAAAATCTTGACCTGGATCATTTGTCAGTGATCTATCATTATATTTCAGAAGTCCACGGAAGATGTGTAATACGGTTCCTGTTGTTAATCAACTAGAAATGACCACCAGAAACTACCCCATACAGCAAGCCCTGTAGTGATAAAACAGGTTGGCTTTGACCTTGGTCTGGCCTTCATACCGGGCCCTTGGTCAAAAGAGCCTGGTCATTCAATTGTTGTGTTGCCTAATTAAGTGTGTCAGAGACGTATGGCTTCGTCTAACAACCCGTTGTTCCACCAGATTGTGAATGATTCCCAATAAATTGACTTCGGTGAATCCATAGCCTGACTTTGACCTGCCGTAGGTCAGCGACATTACAAGGTACATCTAATTGTTTTGTCACATGATCCACTTTTCAATTGTCCACAGATATACAAAATTTGGTGCGGCTACGCCGCGGTTCGAAAGTCATTCAAGAAACACCCGGGGGAGAGGAGGGGGGGGGGGGATAATTGACAGCCAAGGTTTTTCCAGAATGATTTCCGCACAGCGCGGAATAGACGCGTCAAACTTTGCATAGATGTAGATAATAACACAGCGGAGCTTTTGATGAAAACCTTTAGATTAACATTGTAAGTTCGCTGATCTTCAGCAGGTCAAAGTCAGGCCATGGCTGTCAGCGAAGGGCATTTCTTGGTGATGGGCATTTATTGCATTATCGTTTACAGTGATGCAACAGCAGAGTGTCAGACAAAGCCTGACTGAGATAGCCTCTTATATCTGAGATATCTGATATCTGATATCTGATTAATATCTGAGATAGCTTCTTAGGCAATACACCATTTAGATTTAGAATTACAAGCAATCTCATTGACCTTGGGTTAGGTATGAAGGTCACAATGAGGTCAAAACTAACCTACTTTTCCACGAGAGTTTGTTTTTGGGGCAGTTTTTGGTGCTCATTCCTAATTTATTTATGACAGGGACCGCAGCAGACGCGTTTCATGATTTTTTTCAAGCCAGAGCAGGTCATTAAACTAAAACGACCCATGTTAACATTTCGTTTATAGGCACATACCGCCTAGTGTAATCCCTAACGCTTATTCGAATGAAAAATAGAAATCTCGCAAGCATTTGTTTACCTTGACCTTATAAATGTCAAAATGGGTCATTGACCTCATTAACCAATTGATAAAAAAGGCGTCAAGCTTCACGGTGGTTGCATAAGAAGTTCTTAGAGCACCTGGATACCACGCTGGAGTTGATCTTGTTTGACCCTATTTGACTCCGAGGCCATAACATAGGAACCTAAAATTTTGACGCAATTCAGTTCATGTACAGATTCATCTATCCTGTGAATTTGGTGTCTCTAACTATCCTAGCCTTTGAGATGTAGGATAGTTAGAGGCACCAGGGAGGGTATTCAGCCGGCCACCTGAGCGCGCGTCAAATCCCACCATGGATGACTTGTACGCCGTCGGCTGGCGTCGTTGAACACAGACACCAACTCCTCCGCCACGAGCAGTCGCAGAAGGAGCCGGGATCACGCTATCAGAATCAGCTGTGTCAGGAAATCGGTGCCATCAGTTCGTTCAAGCGGCGCACATTTCATCTGTAATTGAACGATATTTCATCTGACCTGCTTTACCGCCTGTGTACCTGGCGCCAACGCCCAGCAGCTACGTAATGAATATGCTGCACATCTTGACGCAGTATCCTGCCAGTCGTTGGTTGTTCCACTGTGTCGCAGTGTCGGTATCATCGATAAGAGAAATGTCATTTGTGATTTCTGACCGATATCGATTTTTGATCAACCTCGTTTGACCCCAAGCTTCTTGCACCTATGGGTACCGGAACTAAGCATCTAATACATCATCCCACGAAGATTACAGTGGCCATTCCGCGGCGCTGCTGGGAGCCACTCGAGCGGGGTCAGCAGATGTCCCCCCCCCCCCCTTTCCCATCCTCTCCTACAGAACCTGGCATTGTCACTGCGTCAAAGGTTCTAGGGCCGTAATCAAATCTCGTGTTTAATCTCACCACATTGTTTCCTAATTTGGGTGCAATAACAAAGGATGGTATCTGCGTTTCCTAACCATGCTAATCAATTACTCGCACTCTAACCACGTTTTACTAATCTATCAATGCATACCTATCCGCGGGAACTAATTCGATGGCGGACATTAATCGCATCAACATTTAATACCTCAATGGGTTAAATTCACCGCAGTTCATATATTAGCCCATAGGTTCGACCATGCTGGATAGGACAATTTCATAAGGTCTAGTTTAAACTAGAGTGGAATTGAATTCGGATTGGTTCAGCTCTAAATTGTGCAATCTTCCTGGACTGGAACAGCACGAAGCACGAACGTAGAGCACAAAAATACACACGAGCACAATATACACAAAAAAACAGGCACTTAATATCCTCAAAACTAATCTCGCTGTGCCGAATCGAACCGGACGACTTCAGAAATGGACTCAATTTCAAATACGTGGATCAGATTACACCTCACTTTGGAAGCGCAGTCCACGACGAGCGCTTATTGGAACCGCCGCCACAGCGGCTCGCCTGGCCGCGGCACATGCCTGGTACGTGGACGCCAGCGAGAGCCACCGCCTTGACCACCATGATGGGAGTCCAGCAGAGGCAGTCGGTGGTGACGATGCAGAAGAAGCGGAGGGCCACCTCCACCTCACGCACCACCAGCGGCGTGTTGCGGCGCGTCTGCTGGATGTTGCAGAACATGGCCATGTAGGAGCACAGGATCAGCAGCAGCCTGTCGGCAGCGGCGGAGGTGACAAGTCGGCAGTGTGCCGGGAGGGCACTGCTAACGCCAGCCCGCTGGGAGGACCAAACTGTGTGCGTGTTCAGTCACAGTTACCACAGCAACAATCAATTTTCACTTGTTTAATTAAAAGAAACATAAAAGATAGCTGGCAGAGAGTTGAATTACAAGCTTAAACACAGAAATGTTTTATCAGCAACCACGGAAAAGAGCAGCTGCCTTGCATTTCTTTCCAATTTAATCTGAGCGCCGTCACCAGCGGGAGTAATCAGCATTATGATGATTAACCACAGCGGGAGAAGACTGCCGGGTGTTGGACACGACGGCCGCCGAGCAGTCGAGCTGGTACGCTGGAAAGATGTCCGTATTTGCCACGTCGCATCGATGATTTCACGCTTTGATTCGGCACAACAGCCCACCGTCTGAGAACGTACGGCTATTATGTTGGCCGCGGAGTGGACGGGCGCCGAAGGCTCAGATAAATCTCCGACATGAAGTCTGCAGAGGCTATTTGCCGCACGATAACGGCGTTTATTTGCCAGATTGCACTCAGCGGTGCCGACGGGGCCTCTTCAGACCATCGTTCAGCGGTAAGGCCCGGCCGGCCGCCCACACGCCGCCGGCCGAACTTCCCAATAGCCTGCCCGCCAGACTGCCTCAAGACTGTCCGAGGCGCCGCGCCCCCGACCTCATCGGCACGCTTCGGAACACCCGAGCTCGTCTCAACGCTATCAGGCACGCCGCAGGCGGCGTCTCGGCCCGGTCAATCGGCGGCCGGCACGGCTCGGGCGTGACCGGTGGCAGGTTCGGAGCCGCCCCGCCCCGCCGGCGGCCAGGTCAGGGTCTGGCCTGACGCACGCAAGCGCTCCCAGCTGACCCCAGTCACGGCGTCTTGCTCCGGTGTCCGGACTTATGCACTCGAGGTTCAGGTGGAGCTGGAGCGGGGCGTGGGGAGGCTTCCCTCCCCCATCCTCCCACACGTCCCACGACGCACCATTGGCTATCGGTCGTGGATTGACCATCCTCATACCTCGGTGGCAGACACATGAGCGTCCTTCAGAGCAAATTCGCCGCAGATAATTGAGCACCGTGCAAGATTGCGACAGAGACTTATGTGGAGGCATATCACAGTAAGTATTTCATCTGTTTGATTTAGTAAAAACACATCGTTTTTTAATAAGCCGGAAATGACTTTACCTTTATTCTACGTCATTCTTTTCCACTATCACATGCAAACGTGAGTGCAGATCTTGATCTTGAGATGCAGATCCATCAGATCACGGTTCACGAATCCTACATGGACATCACTCTATCATCAATCATATCATCAATCGTGATTGCTACTGTCACGCAGCCCTTCAGCCATATAACTATTATATACGCCATTCCGGGAAAGACCGTGTAGATGTTATGTCAGTGAAGACAAAAGGAATGGTGACACGGTGACCTTGACATCGGGCGCCTAACATCGGACGCCAGCATAAGTTCCTCACCAAAGACATTACCTTCGGGAAGCACACTTCATGTGCCACCAGTGCCAAACATCTGTCTGAAAGGCCACGCATAAATGCCGTGGAAACAATCGCCAAACATGCAGCGGCGGCGGCGGCGGCGTCAGATGCGCTCCAGCGCGGCGTCAAGTGTGGCGGCAGACGTAGCGGCGGGCGGTCAGACGTGTGGCGAGTTGGGGCGTGTGGCTTGCGATAGCGCAACGTGTGCTGCGACAGGCGTGTGGCTGCGATAGCTCAGACGTGTGGCTGCGATGGTGTCAGGCGTGTGGCTGCGATAGCGTCAGACGTGTGGGCACGTGTCTGGCGTGTTGCATAGCGTCTATATAGCGTCAGACTGTGGCGCGACGGTGTCAGGCGTGTGGCTGCGATAGCGTCAGACGTGTGGCTGCGACGGTGTCAGGCGTGTGGCTGCGTAGCTTCAGACCTGGCGCGACGGTTTCGGCGTGTGGCTGCGATAGCGTCAGACGTGTGGCTGCGACGGTGTCAGGCGTGTGGCTGCGATAGCTTCAGACGCGTGGCTGCGACGGTGTCAGGCGTGTGGCTGCGATAGCTTCAGACGCGTGGCTGCGACGGTGTCAGGCGTGTGGCTGCGATAGCGTCAAGTGGCCTGCACGGTTTCAGGCGTGTGGCTCGATACGTCACGTGTGGTGCACTGTGCAGCGTGTGCTGCGATCGTCACGCGTGCTGCGACGGTGTCAGCGTGTGCTGCGATAGCGTCAGACGTGTGGCTGCGACGGTGTCAGGCGTGTGGCTGCGATAACGTCAGACGTTGGGTGCACGTGGTGTGGCCTGCGATAGCGTCAGACGTGTGGCTGCGACGGTGTCAGGCGTGTGGCTGCGATAGCGTCAGACGTGTGGCTGCGACGGTGTCAGGCGTGTGGCTGCGATAACGTCAGACGTGTGGCTGCGACGGTGTCAGGCGTGTGGCTGCGATAGCGTCAGACGTGTGGCTGCGACGGTGTCAGGCGTGTGGCTGCGATAACGTCAGACGTGTGGGTGCGACGGTGTCAGGCGTGTGGCTGCGATAGCGTCAGACGCGTGGCTGCGACGGTGTCAGGCGTGTGGCCGAGACGGGGTCCCCGTCGCCGGCCGGGTGCCGGATATGTAGTTTTTCCTTGTGTGGCTCGCGATCACTCCTCACGTGCACGCTAATGCAGCCAATCAGCGCACGCCCCGCGGCGCTACGAGTCGCAAACGGGCCATCGACTGCTGATGTGGCCAATGGGCGCCAGCAGAGGGGAGCACTTAAATCCTAGAATGGCAGGCAGGAACGCAGTCGGAACTAGTGGTGTAGGGCTGGCGTCCAGTAAATCCGATCTCCCGCCGGATGGAGTTTTTATTTCGCGTCACTGTTGTCCTTTTTTGGAAACGCAAGCTGGTTTCGCCTTTTCTTCCCTCCTACTCTAGAGTCAACGCCAAACAACATGTTTTTTATGCAAAATGTAAGAGGGTGATGTTCACGCAATCACCTTAAGATCATTACCAGCCTGCACCAGCAGGAGGAATAGGAGAGCAACTGGTTGGAACAAGAACATCTTACCCCAGGCAATTGGGCCGGGTCGGGTGGGGTCCAGTCGGATCGAGTCGGGTCCCGTCCGGTCCGGTCCGGTCGGGTCTGGTCTGGCCTGGTCGGATCGTGTCCGGGTCCGGGTCGGGTCGGGTCGGGTCGGGTTGTGTTGGGTCGGGTCGGGTCGGCTCGTGTTGGGTCGTGTTGGGTCGGGTCGGGGCCCGGTCGGGTCGGGTGTTTGGGTTGGGTTGGGTCGGGTCAGGTCGGGTTGGGTCGGGTCAGGTCTGGCCTGGTCGGGTCGGGTCGGGTCAGGTCTGGCCGGGTCGGGCCGGGTCGGGTCGGGTCGGGTGGTTGGGTCGGGTTGGGTCAGGTTTGGTCGGGTCAGGTCCGGTCGGGTCGGGTCAGGTCTGGCCGGGTTGGGTCGGGTTTGGCCGGGTCGGGTCCGGTCGGGTCGAGTCGGGTCGGGTTGGGTCGGGTCAGGTCTGGCCTGGCCGGGTCGGGTCGGGTCGGGTCGGGGTCGGGTCGGGTCGGGTCGGTCGGGTCGGGTCGGATTGGGTCGGGTCATGTCTGGCCTGGTCGGGTCGGGTCGGGTCGGGGGTCGGGTCGGGTCAGGTCTGGCCTGGTCGGGTCGGGTCGGGTCGGGTCGGGTCGGGTCGAGTCGGGTCAGGTCTGGCCTGGTCGGGTCGGGTCGGGTCGGGTCGGGTCGGGTCGGGTCGGGTCGGGTCGGGTCGGGGTCGGGTCGGGTCGGGTCGGGTCAGGTCTGGCCTGGCCTGGTCGGGTCAGGTCGGGTCGGGTCGGGTCGGGGTCGGGTCGGGTCCGGTCGGTTCGGGTCGGGTCGGGTCCGGTCGGGTCGAGTCGGGTCGGTTCGGGTCGGGTCAGGTCTGGCCTGGTCGGGTCGGGTCGGGTCGGGTCGGGTTTGGTCGGGTCGGGTCCGGTCGGGTCGGGTCCGGTCGGGTCGGGTCGGGTTGGTCGGGTCGGGTCAGGTCGGGTTGGGTCGGTTTGGGTCGGGTCGGGTCGGGTCGGGTCGGGATGGGTTGAGGTGGAGCAAATCGGGTCGGGTCGGGTCGGGTCGGGTTTGGTCGTGTCCGGACAGGTCGGGTTGGGTCGGTTTGGGTCGGGTCGGGTCGGGTCGGGTCGGGATGGGCTGAGGTGGACCAAATCGGGCCCACTATCCCTCCGCGTTTACCCGATACTAAATATAGGTGACCCTTATCCCCCGTTCACGAACTATGACAGCTGGTCCTACATTATGCAATCACTTTGTAACGCTTATATCTCAAACACCTAGATATAGATGGAGCTTTTCAAGTGGTTTGCGCTCCATTATCGTCTGCTGTCCTCTGTCCGTGATGGCTGGATGGGTTAGCTAATCACTCACCATGGTTATAAACATTACCAATTACGCAAGCCATCCTTCTTGCCGAAACGCTATTCCACTAGCTGAACGGAACCGGTGGCAACCTCTGGGGGAGGGGTCGGCGCAGTTGCGAACACAATATTCTAAAGCCACGCACAAGGCAGCCAGCCGGCAGCACCACGCCGACCTGCTCACCCAGGCCCGGCCGACAGCTGAACCCATTAGGCCTGGCTTTTAATCACTGCGCAGTCGGCGCTTGACTGCAAATCACGCAACAGACAATGGCTCCGTGGAATGGCGCACGTTCAATGCCCACTGACACTACTGGAAGCGCGAGGGAGACCGGGAAGAGAGCAAGAGACCCAATAACCCTGCCCCTCCCCCCGCCCCCATTGGGTGGGTGGTGACCCGGGCCCTCACAATCCGCACGGTGGACAAGACCATTAACCCTCCGTCTGATAAACAGCAAACAATTTTCAGGTCACAGTCGCGCCAGGTGACCCAGACGGTTTCTAGACAGGGTACGTCTCAACAGAGAGTGATTCAACGCTCTGTTGAGACGCATCCAAAATTACTGATGCAGGGTAGTTCCGTCACCCATGTGTACGGCTCCAGCTCACGAAGGCTACCAATGACATGGATAGACGCTCTGATGTAAACGTATACACAAAAATACCCTGTCGCTCCGTGACACAAACTATTCACGGAGATGTCCACGCTGGGCTAAGTTGCAAGCTAAGTTGCGTTTGCGTAGGCAGTCACATCAGCATATCCATTCTTTTTCCAGCGACTCGCGGACCCTCGCCATCATCGTATTCACCGTTGGCCGTCACAGAAAGCGCAAAACACAGGGACGCTCTGACGCGGACTTGCAGCAACACGCCCCCCCCCCCCCCTTGAACAAAGACCACAATTTCAGTTTGCTGAGAGAGCCTCCTACCACGGGGCAGCGGGGAAGGGGGGGATCAACACGCGCCCTGGGTGGCCGGCTGGATACCCTTCGCTCGGGCGGAAGGGGGGTCAATTTGACCCCCTGAGATCTCGAGAACTATGAGAGCTAAGGACACCAAATTTACTGGGTATGTTAACCTATACGTGAACTCACTTAAGTCCAAGTTTGAGGTCCCTAGACCATGACCTTTGGGTCAAATAAGGTCAAACAATGTCAAATTCTAGGCTGGTCTCCAAAGTGTCCCCAGATCCTAGATAGGCTGCTTCTAAGCAAAAGGTCACATGTTCCTCTAAGGTCAGTGACCTTGTTTGACTTTTTGAAGGCCATGGTGACCAAAATCATACAACACTGCTCTGAGTTTTGCATTTGAATAAGCGACAAAGTTTACGCCAGGCAGCATGCTGCTAAAACCAAATGTTGACCTGGGTCATTTTAGATCAATGACCTATTCTGACCTTTAAGACGTCTATAGAAGATGTAGAGAGTGATTTCTGCTGTCGATAAATTCGAAATGAGCACCAGAAACTATTCCATACAGCAAGCCCTGAAGAAACAAAACAGGTTGTTTTGGCCCTTGCCCTGACCTTCATACCTGACCTTGGGTCAATGCAATTTGCTCATTCAATTGTCGTGTTGTCCAAGAAAGCATTTCAGTGATATATGGCTTCGTCTAACATTCCGTTGTTGCATCAGATTTAACGATTTCCTAGAATCTGACTTCGCTGAAACCATAACCTGGCTTTGACCTGCCACAGGTCAGCGAATTTACAAGGCACATCTAAATTTTTTCAACAAACAGTCCGCTATTCCAATGTCTACAGCTACGCAAAATTTGGCGCGGCTACGGCGCGCCCTTCGAAAACCATTCGGGAAAACCTTCGGAGGGTCAATTTGCCCCCCCCCCCCCCACCAACCCGAGCGCGTGCTAACCGGGAGCCCACAGCTCTCCTCTCCCTTCCGCTTAGAAAAACGCTGGGCTCGCCACTGTACTCAGGCCTAGTAACGTTAAAGGCTCTTAACAACTTGTGGCTCTGGCGGCGTCACCAGCTCTGCTAGATGTCAAAACCATGCGGAGTGAACGTGGTGGGATATGCACTTGTGAAAGTGTGTATCATAAAAAACAACGGTACTGCAGAGCAACAAGCATCCAAACACGGGACGGTTGTCGGGGGCATCCTGTGTCGCGTTCAGGACTGGACGCCTCAGGAACAATATTGTGCATCGCCGCATTGTACTGCTTTATCTGACATAAAATGAACGTCCTTTCATTTGCCCGCTTCCTGCATGTTCTTTACTCTCTAAGCAATGGCCCATTTACAGGTGGCCAGGCGGACATCCCGTGCCCGACTGCTACAGAGAGAGCTGAAAGTCATCGCGCCGACGAAAAATTGCCTAGCTTCACCACTCCCGCAGACAAGACAACATGAGAAATCTGTTAAGCAAACAAATAAGGGATACGCCAAAATGACACCATTCTCTGGTTTGCTGTGACGTTAGTGCAGTTAGCATTGATCTTAGAAAGCCATGCAATTATAATTTAAACAAGCCAGAGTCATGAACGACGGCTTGCAGCCCACTAACGCCATTGCTAGTTCTAAGTTGGTCAAACGTTATTTACCATGCCTATTAAGGGAATCTTACACAGTTACATACAACGCATGTAATATACATGACATATTGATAACATAACGGCGTCCTCTTTTCGAGCAATGGTCTAAATTGTTGAAGGATTGTAGTGGCATTTCCTGTTCAATATTGTGCCTGTGTCGTTACTGGCTAATCCGGGAGGACGCCGGTCGTGGCAGATGTTAATTGCGGTGGCGCCTAGGACGACGTGTCCCTTTGAACAAAACAAGATTTTTCAAGAACGGTGGACGCTTGGCCGAAGCCAAACCCTCCGCCCGTGAACCAGGAACAAAGCGCTCCACATGCCGTGCAGCACATTCTGAGATGGTGTGTAAGTGGCCGAAATAGGCCCCGACAAGTGTGGCGTCAGAACGAATCTGCTCGACAGCATGGAACGCTAACAGCACTTCGCTGGTGGTTACATTTTAACACGGCTGACGGTTTGTGTTTTCCAAGTCACGTTACTCGAACAGCCCGAAAAATGTGAATTTTAAGCAGTGAACATTTAACCTGCCGTCTCTTTTCACACCAATCTAACAAATGTGTCCTCTTAACATTAACAGTTTATAACTTCAGTGCGAACGATATGCATTCGTGTCATGGAATAATACAAAAAGTCATGTATGCATGAAAACGGGGAAAAAGGAGTACCTACGCGTCCTGCGCAAGAGCATGTTCAGAAGAATGGCGAGGCGGCTGAAAAGTGAGCAACAGTAACCTAAGCCCAGCGTTGCGACATTAAGAGGCATAAGCAGGACTGGTTGTCATTTATCGCAACACGAGGCGTTCAGGCGATGTACCTTAAATTTACTCCCCCACTTCATGATTGTGTCGTATCGCATCGAAGCACGCATTTACCTTAAGAACATACTTTGCTCTACACTCTCGTTTCGCAGGTGTCCATGATCCGTCTAAGTCCCGTGATCCTGGGACTAAGGCCGATACCGGGGCCGACATCCCCAGCTGCCTGCCTTCGAATCACATGCCGCCCATTTCCTCCTCTGCGGGCGCAAAACGTTTTAATGTTGTCCGTATACCAACGACTGCGAATGGAACGGCAAGGAGGCTCTGAGGATGGTGGGCTTGCCGTTTTCTGACCCGATTCTACACCGGCTTTTCAACATGATTTGCTCGGCTTCTGCTCCATTAACAGTGATCACGCGGACTTAGCGTGAGAGGAAGGCGCATGCCGCTGCTGGCATTTCAACGTCTTCACTACGTGTTCTCTGAGCGCATGCGACTTACGATGCAACATTGATGACCAGGAAGACGAATGCTGAATACTTCCAGCCCACGATGTACGGCTCCTGGATGTGCAGGGGAAAGCAGATGCCGTTCAGGCCGTAGAATGTGCTGGAGCTCTGCCAATAGAACACTGAAATAGGGAAAATAGCGTCACCAACGGGCGTGTGCCAAGGGCGATTATACGTGCCAGTGAATCGGCATAAACCGAGTCTTTGACCCCAAATGTCTATATAGGCATTTGGAGGAGAGGTAGGGCTTCTCTGCTGACCTTCGTAGGACCATTGGTTCCATGTGTTGCCTATAGTATGCTCTGTAGAGACCCAAAGTGTTAAAAACCACATGCAATATTCCACTTTACGGGACGGATATGAGAATGGAAGATAGCTAGGAATATTCTTGGTAGGTTACAAGCGCCTGGATTAGGTTATATTACGCATGCAGTGCTCATTTCAGCCATATGCTGCTTGAAGAGCCTTGAAACATTTGAATACCCTGTGCCACAATTCATAATTACTCGAATCCAATGAAAACATATGCGTTCTTCCTGACCGCGCCCGAGAGACACGCCCGGTTATTAGAGGATCGTTTGTAGACCGGTACACCATAGGACCAATCAGAAAGCTAATGGGGACCGCCAGCCGGTCATAATGCGGGTCACAGCCGCGTCCCACGACAGCGCCAAATGGATTGCGTGTTTTCGCGCTTTGACACTGCTTCAGCTCCAGCGTACTTGTAACACTTCACAGCCGACTCCCACAGCACTACCAGCTGTAAGCGAGATGTCACTGTTTAGGGCATGCTTTGAGCCTCCTACACGCGCGTTGCACGTGTCTTCCAGCGTTGTGCAGAAGAGGCAGAGTGGCGGGATCATATGACGTCACGTGCACTTTCCAGTATCGCATTTGATTCATCATCGCCGAAACTAAGCATTCTCTCCCTGTTCTGACAGGGTTTTGTGGACGACGTTGACATGCTGCGAGACGGCAATAATAAACGCTGTATGGCAGATCAAGGCCCCTTTGCACGTTTACTGTATCATAATCGCATTAAAACAACAGTCGTCGATGAAGTTTACAAGGGATCAACATGACGCATTCGTCTAACAATGATCCATTTCCCCGAACTGCCATGGTGCCAAAATAATGATTGCGTCGTGGATTGAGACAACGGCATGCTCTGGTGGATCTCCCAAGGTAAGCTGGTATTTGGCAGCAATATTTCAACAAGCTACCCACATATCAGAGCTCATTGCCGCGCCAACAACCCACGATGTAGCGAACGTCTTGTTACAGCACATATTGTGACTGCAAGTAGCATTGAATTCGTGCGAGACGACGGCAGCGACATATCAGACGGCCTGGGTAACAGCAAGGATCATTATCGCTCCACTGAAAGCAACCAATGAAGTAGGAAATGGCAAAAGCGAGCATTCTCCAGCCGAGAAAACAATTTCCATCGCCAGAATTTGCCGCTAGATTGATGCTTTTGTGTGCTCATATCGTCATTGTCACTTGCCCACTGTTACCGATGTGCTTACATTGATGAGCCTAGGGGATCATACTTCGCCATCTCAATAAACATGCTCGCACTGAAACGCTCATCATCATGGTGTGACCATCACATGCGTGCATTTTGTGGGAAAAGGGCAGCCTCTGGCACATTTTGTGGGAAAAGGGCAGCCTCTGGCACATTTTGTGGGAAAAGGGCAGCCTCTGGCACATTTTGTGGGAAAACGGCAGCCTCTGGCACATTTTGTGGGAAAAGGGCAGCCTCCGGCACATGTCTGTTTTGAGTTGCTCTTCCTTGTGGCTTACAGATGGCGAGATGTTTGAATTACCTAAAGCATGTCTGAGGTCAATGCACGTGTCAGCAACCCGCTGCGTATGACATCACGCGGTAATAAGTGGTTAACGGGTGTGCATGACGTCATATACTCGTGCTAACGAATGGAAAAGGGGCATGGTCGTCGGATGTTACATGCTGTGTAGGGCTTTGGGTCGCGGGATGTTTGGGAGAGCTGCGAACAAAAACATGAAACAAAAAGACAAGCATACTTCCTTAGTTTGACATTCGTGTTCCTTATAAACTAGAGCAAGCATGCTTTTTCGTATCCTAACTCATTTGCGGTCGAAAAAGTGGGCTGCTCGGCTTGAATGCCAGTTACTTCTCCTAAAAAATTGCCAGTTCATGCACCAGGCAAACTGTTGTCCAGTGGAACAACAAAGCGAACAAATACTGGAGAATGCTGTTGATGAAATTTTTGAGCTGCTCATAATACAAGTTACTGCATTTTGGATGCCCCTGCTCACACACTGGTTATGCAGGGTAAAAACCATCCTTACCATGTTTGGGGAAGGCTGTTTTTAAGCTACTCTAACCTTGGTGAGCCAAAGTGCTTTGGCCACCCTGTAGCTTTAAGATATTCTTTACAAAATAATGCAAAACATTGGCTTCACCCACCGGGTCACGAGCCCGGATCACTGGAGTAGGACATTGGACATTTTTTCTCAAGGATCAGTAAGATCTGTCCCACCAAAGCTGGAATAGCTGAAAAAATAACCTTCCACACTTACTAATACACCCAGCTTGAAAAGCCTTCACACCCTTATCCTGGCTTTACGCCGGTTACGCTGCGTAAAAAACACCCTTTCCTGGCTATGCTATGCTAAAGGTACGTTCTAAAAAATATCACACATTTGACCCGTTACTGGGCTAGCGGTGCAGATCAAAAACTGGTGTACTAATTTCATCAGAAACAAACGGCGAGTTACCTCCATCAGAGCAAATCAACGGTATGCAGTTATATAGTTTAAAAAAACTGTTTTCAAATCATTCGACATGGTTTGCAGCGGCACACGAACATAACGTTACACTGTCCGAAACCCCTCTTCCCTTATTTGGGTTACGCTCCATAAAAACTTCCCTCTCCCTCCACGCGGAGCGTATATCGTGGACGGACCCTTTAAATACTGCTTCCACGAACCGTGGCGCTATTTCGCGAGCGACAATGTCTCACCAGGAGACGGATGGCGCCTTGGTCCAATACCGTGCCTTCAAAGGCTTGTTCCCAGGCCGGTCTCGTTCCCGAGAACAATCACGTTCTCGTTGCGAGACGGCACCTTTCGGTCCAACATCGATCGGCCTTCGTAAGCACGCTTCGGCGTCCAGTGA